GTAAAATTGGCGTCTTTCGAATGATTGGATGTTACCACTGATGTTGTTAAAATGTGATATGGGTTCGTGCAATTAGCAGAACGTTTAAAAATAAATTCCCGACATGATAGCTCCACGGAAAATTAAGTTATTATGTCGAAGATTGTCAAGTTGCTATACTATTATAGAAATAATTTAGAAAATCACTTGTTTAGATTCTCCTTCATAGGCTTTCAATAGCTTTCGTAGTTTACAAAAAGTTTCAAAAACTATTATTAAACGAATCTACGCATCGTGCTGAAGTGGCACTGCACCACTTATTGGGTCTGCCTTAACTCGGGGGCATGTTGACCTACCTTAAGCCGGGAATAAACTTACGCGATGCAACGCTTTGCGACGCTACCCGACGCCTTGCCACGTTTTGGTATGGTGTGCACATCTATGCGAGGTCAAGCGCACGACACGTACAGTCACACAGCGCGTATCACAAATCAGTATCGCAATCGCAACGCTTCTTTTGTTCTTAATTGATTATTTTGAGTAAAATCATGTAATAAATTATTAGTTAAATTTAATTGTTTAAAATAAAGTTATTCCGATGTTTTGATAAATTTTCCGCCTAGCCTAGTTTAATTTGGTTTATATTAAAATAAGTATGTTGTAATTAATATAAAGACTCAATTACATATACTTTGTTTGAAATAAACTACAACAAATATGACTGTCCTGTCCTCACGCTACTCTACGAAAATAATGTAATTTTATGAGCAAAACCATGAAATAAATTGGTAGTAGTGGTAAATTCATTCATATCAAAAAATGGTATTCCGGTGTTTTGATCAATTTTCTACAAATGATTAAAATTAATTTTAAAAAAATAAAAAATAATGAATTTTTAATCTCGGTTAATTTGGTTTATTTTAAAATAAGTTTGTTGTAATTAATGTAACGACAATAAATCATGTAGTTTGAATAAAAATATGAGTGTCCCGTTCTTTTGTCTTCGACTGTACTCGATGCTACCCGACGAAAATCTGGGCAGTGGGGATCGCAAAGCGTAGAGTAGGGTAGCAGATGTGGCGTAATACAGCCTTATGGAAAATCGTACTTTGAATTTGCGTCGGGTAGCATCGGGTAGTGTCGCATGGCGTTGCTTCAGTTAAGTGTGTTCCCGGCTTTACGCGTTTCGACACTGAACCTTCAATGGTATGAAACAAACCAGCGAGTGAAGACGGACCCAATAAATCACCCAACGCCAGCTTGAGTTCACTTGCTCATTGACCAACATCCAACATGTAATATGTATCAGCGATAGTATAAACTGAACAAGTGATTAAATAAATAACTAATATATAAAATTATATTTCCCCTTTATCGTTTTACAACCTATCGAGCGGTTGTATATTAGGAGATATCGCTAAGTCAATAAAATTCAATCGCAATAAATTCTCCGTTCAATTGACCGAGGTTTTATGAGGTAAATTAAATCCATGTTGAAAAACGGATTTTGTTAAACGTTATTGGTCTTGATTTTTTTGGAACTTCCAATACTCAACTGGTGTGCGTTCAAAATTATAATTTAATCGTGAATTTAATTAAAAGCATAATTAACGTAACGCGTTTTTACTAATTAAAACCAACTGTTTTTTATTCAATGCAGCTGGTCGCCTTAATCTGTCACATTCCTAATCTAAATGCTTCTCCATAATTAAAAATGAATTAAAGCATCGGCTAGTCTCTCGACTTTACTTGTTTTTATATGATTTTGTTGAGTTTTAACTCGTCAGAAATAAAAATAAAAATAAGTCTGAAGAAGAGTACGAGAGGTAATTCAATTATTCAACTTCGTGATGTTAGGAAATACTCATAATTCACAATGCTTTTATGTAATTTTCCAATCAATTTAATTATATGTTCTCAACGTTCACATTTATAGTTTTTCATCGTTAAGGCATACAATTCTCCTCAACCAATTTCTAAGTTAAAAATAAGCACAGATACGAGAATTTTAGTTGAGAACAATTTGAGAAAAAATTATTGTAAATAGATTTAACTCAGTTTAACTGCAATTGCTTTTCCACAGTCGTCATTTAGACGTTTGGTTCTGCACATTTTCAGACATTACTACATCTAAAGACTGATCATTCAATATTCAACTATTGTACATTAAATATGAGGTGTAAACGTAAACATTAATATTAGTGTAATTTTAATCTTCTCTTTTATTTAGTGTATATATATATATATATATATATATATATATCCAGAGAGAAAGAGAGAGTATCATTATTCTTTCAGTTGGTCTTTGTGATCCTTTTTTTGTATAGTGTTTTAAAAGGCTAATTACTGACTACTGCAGTTATGTTATGGGTTTGTGATATGTTTTAGTGCGAAATGCTTCATGTTGTTAAATATTTAAAAGAATGTTTCCTGCTTATAGATGAAAGAGGGAGAGAGAGAGAGAGAGAGAGAGAGAGAGAGAGAGAGAGAGAGAGAGAGAGTGAGAGAGAGAGTGAGGGAGGGAGAGAGGGGGTGATAGAGTGAGTGAATTAGTGACACAGAGAGATATAGGGAGAGAGGGAAAGAGTGAGTGAGTGAGTTAGTAAGATAGTGAGGGAGTGGGCGATTTAGTGACACAGAGAGATAGGGAGAGAGGGAAAGAGAGATAGAGTGAGTGATTGAGTGAGTGAGAGAGAGAGAGAGAGATAGAGAAACATACAGACAGACAGACAGACAGACAGAGATAGGGACAGGCACACAGACAGATAGAGGAAGAATGGGAAAAGGGAGAGAATTATTTGATCAAAGAAATTGAACAAATGAGGGAAAGTAATTTTTTTTTTCTAAAAACGTTTGTGGTAAAAGAAAAACACGCATAAAAAAGCACATAAAATACTGAACTGTGTCTGATCAACCAACCCAGGAAGATGGATAGACTAAAACGATCGGTAACGACAACATTTCTTGTTCGTCACCTCTTAAAAATAAAATTTTTGTAAACGTAAAACATCAGTTCTGTATAAACTGTTCAAAATGAATAGGGAGATTACTAATTTTGTAGTATTTAGGTTCCTTAGGATTTTTATTGTAAATTTCATTTTAAAAAAATTATAGTTTTTTACTGCAGGAAAATTTACTTATGGGATTTTTAAGAAAAACAAAATAAAAGGTTTTAATTCCGTAGTTTTCTATATTGGACACAGTAATTTTTTTAACATTTAAAACCGTGTATAATGTCCTTTGTTATCCTAAACATTGTGCACCTTAAGCATAATGTTAATAAGGTTGTCACTAATTTCATAAGGAATTTCACTCCATAGATGTTCAATCCTTCACTCAGTGATTGCAGGTCAATTGGCTATGGATATTGATCGAAAAGAATTCTGTGCAACACATCACACATGTGCTCAATAGGATTGAGTTTTGGAGACAATGGGAGAAGGGGCAGAAAGAAAATTCCCAGGTTTTCTAAACACTGATGAACAACTCTGACTTAATCAGGTCTTGCAGAAATCGAAAAGCCCTGCCAATGATGCCTGGTTGGAGGAATGTATTCCTCGATAATTCCTTAGAAATAACGGACTGCGGTGAATTTGGCTTCAGCAATATGGAGCTCGTCGTCCAGTGTAACTCACAGCCAAGACGATTACACGGCCTATTCCAAACAGCATATTTCTATCCTTCCTTAGCGTCGAAATGCACTGAGATCCACTATCAGGTCTCCTATTGGCACATCAGTCTCTTGGAGTAGCACTAAAACCCGGGAGACGACGCCCTGAGAAACGCCAACTGCCTCTGCTATGTCCCCTTGCCGGTTACCTCGATCACTCATTCTCACAATAATATTGCGACCTTCTGGTTCAAGACGATGTCTTTCCATTGATAAAGAGAATACAAGTGGAGTGAAATGGACAAAAGAGACGAGAAAAGGTATTCGATAACAAAACCATTAATTAATCTTCATGATTACTATTAATAAGTAACTCTATTATATTTAGTGGTCTATTGATCAAACTACTTTTTTCAATTAATTAATACTTTTATGTATGGTTTTCGGTTGAAATGAAAAAGTTATAGCCACAAGAGTCACGATAGCTTAAGTGGTAGAGCATTGACGGATTGAGCCGAAGGTCGGGGTTCGAATCCCGCTCGTCACACTAACTTTTTCATTTCAACCAAAAACCTTACATAAAAATAGTAATTAATTAAACGAAATTATTATGTAAACTCGTTATTAGAAATGAGATTTTTTTTTTGGTTGTATGTTATATTTTTTTCATCCAATTATCAAGAATATAACGTTTAATTTAATTAAAATTAATAGAATAGCAGTAAATTGCAAATATCCCTGTTCATTTTTGAGCAGTTTTGTATATGATGGATATTAAGAATTGTTACCTTAGTAAATAAATAGTGCGTTATTCAAAAGGTAAATAAACCATGAAAGTGGGGGATTTTATATATTGATATGATAGTTCGGCGTGATGATTAGTTGGACATAGAAAATTTATGATATTGTGTATAAATGCGTTTTATTATTATTGCCTAACAATCCGTACTTTTCAATAATTTGAAGGTGCAGGATATGTCCAGAGTTGGGTCGGTATCAGCGTTGAAACAGAGCGAGATCGGTCTGATCGACATCCTCCCAGTGCTGGTACATTTCAATGTGATAGAGGCCACATGAAATATGTAGAGGGGTGAGATGTCTGTTTATTGGGTAGCTTGAAAGACAAGTGGGTACCGTGATCTCGGGCCACAATCCGTATAAATAACTGAACATCAAGGCGAGCCACGATAAAACCCAGAGCTGCAATATTCACTCCGTCGCTCGTATCAAGACGTCGAAAAGCCATTTCGTCTTAGAAGTTTAAAGTTGAAACGGGCCGCCAATCTTGGCGCATTTTACGATGGCGGCCTCCTGACGAATTAATCGACCTTCCCACGGCAAAACCCGGCGATACTTTTATATTAAAATCCAGCCCCTGCAATGAAAAACTTGTTTTCTTTTTATTACTGACCTGGGATAACTTGAGGAGCGGTGTGTGAAACGAGGTCCCTTTTTGCCTCGTCTCCCCGAGGAACAATTCTACCCTCGAAGACCGAGGGTCGGGCGGGCCGGGTGGTCTTTTCTGCACCCTCACCAAACCCACTTCCGGCTGGCTTATCCCGGCAAGCTTCAGGCAGGCCAAATCAACTCCGACGATATCTGAAAGACAACAAGTCGTGAGAAAAACACTAACGTTCTCAGGTCCTTTTCATCCTTAATCCTTCAAGCCCCTGTCTATCCACTTAAAGTAAAATTGTGTGACAAATAATATTGAATTGTTACTCGCATTACCTTGTACCTAGTGACGTGCGATACCAATCGATATAAGTAAAGTGAGGAGTATTTTCTTTTGATACCGAGTACTTTCGGTATCGAATATTATCATTCGATACAAGTACTGTATCGAATATTTTTTATAGTATCGCAAAATTAACGAAAATAGATTTTTCGTCGCGTGTTTAAGTAATATTGAATTGTTATTTACCTTTGGGAACTTACCTCTCAGCAAACTGGAAATTGACTAGAGCGCCACTAGCGGCATATGTCAAAAAAGTTAATCGAGATTTTTAATTGGTGGTTGGTAACTCTGCTGATAATTCTGGTAAATCATAATTCTTTCCCGCGTCGCGCCTCGCACTTTTAATTTCAGTAATTTTTTTATAAAATGATTCACCTTCAAGTACCTAAATAGTGATCGCCTTAATTTTCGTATGTACATATCTAATCATGTATCTTCCTAAAAGTAAAACATGAGGTTATTTTACTAAGAAAACTGAATCGTCGGCATCTTGTAACCTCTGGGTAATATAGTGGGAATACATCTTATCTTTTAAAACGTTTGAAAACCAAACACCCGATGATCTATTTTCTCAAAACTCGATAACGATAAAATTGAAATATCAATTATGTTCAAATGTGTTGGCAGCCATTCCTTGTTCTTACCTACGTACCCACTGTACGAAAAAAAAACTTAAACATGTAAAAAAACTGCACATTCTTGTTTACTTAACGTATGAGCGTATTTTAATCAATGTCCACAATAGTAAGTTGTACGTTTATGAATAAACGAAAAACTACTCATATGAGTAAGTACTAGATACTTGAGTAGTAACGAATATTTCTTTGGATACCAGTACCGAGTATTGGCATCGAATATTTTCTGGTATCGCACGTCACTATTTGCAACCCGGATTGGGACATGAGAACATATTTTTGACATGTAATACATTCGTAACAACTAATTATTGAAACACCAGTTCTCATATATATATAGCTTTATAAAACTTTCGCATATATTATAAATAGGGGTTATAAAAATTATACTTAAATTATTTTTCTCTATTTTTTATTGAGGGAATGCTAAATTTTTTGGTGTTACTTGTGATAAAAAAAATCCTTCTTCTAATGTGCTCTAAGACAAATACGGCCAAAAGACAGGCCATTTGTAAAGAAAACATTGAATTGAAATAACACCAAACTATTTTTAAAAAATCAACATATTTTTTATATTTAACTTGAAAAAGGACGCATTTTCCTCTTTAAAAGGATCAGACAATGAAGCTAGATTGAATGCGATTCTAGTACATGGCAAGCGATGGTGGTAAACTTCTGCTGAAAGGAAACCCGGAGATAAAAACAGAATGAAAGAAAAATGTGATGAAATCTTTTCAAAGCTGAATTGATTATTAAACAGCATATTACCATACTTTGAATAAATTTTCCAAACATTTTATCCGGGGATGCAAAATTTCTCATACATTTATAATTTATTTACCTGACTCAAGGACAATTTTAACTGATAGTCATGTAAAAAGGAATATTATGAAAGTAATACCTTTATAATCTTTATCTGCCTCCTGCGTAGGAATAGCCTGAGTGGGTTGGCTGTTGTAGATGATATACTCTTTTTGTGGGCGGAGTTTTTTCCTTGCTGAACCCGGGCAAGACCTATTTAGCAACGCCGTCCACTCGTCTGCCGCCTGAATAAAAAAGATCAGAAATATATTTATTAAAATTGTACTGTTGTAATAGCGAATAATGTTAACACTGGTTTCAATTAATTAATCCTTTTACGTAAGGTTTTGGTAGAAATGAAAAAGTGAGTGCGACGAGCAGGATTCGAACCCATGACCTATATACGCCCCTGCTATACCACTTGAGCTGTCGTGACAAGTGGTAGAGCAGCGGCGCATTTAACCGAAGACCGTGGGTTCGAATCCCGCTCGTTACGCTGACTTTTTTATCTCAACCAAAAAACTTACACAAAAAAGGATAATTGAAAGAAGTAACTTGGTCCATTGACCATTAAAACATAAATAGATTAATAGTTAACTATAATGGATATTTTGCAATGATATGTAAATTACATAAAATATTAAGATTATTTGGTAAACAAATTTATTTATTTAAAGGGGTTTGTAATCCGAAAAGAAAAATACCAAAATTTGAATTTACATTGTTAGGAATTTTACAAGTATTTCATCTTTGTAAACAACAGATTGCATTATTCCAATCAATTAATCTTTTTATGTAAGGTTTTTAGTTGAAATTAAAAAGCTATTGCCACGACCGGGATTAGAACCCACGACCTTCGTCTAAATATGCCGAACATCGACCCATCTCAACCTACTACATTTCGAATTTTCCCTCCTTTTTGCTATTTTTCAAATGTCGTGTAATGAGGATTCGATTCTCAGCGGCATATGGAGTCGTTCGAATTCTGATTTAATAAAATTGTATCATATTTATTACAATTATCATTTAATTGGTCTTTACAAATTTTATGTTTATCTTCGACACACGGTCGCTCTGTATGTTGTTAAATATCTTTGACAACACATATTTTTTTAATTATTATTAATCCAAAGCTGATTCTATTTATTCAATAACCGTACATATTGCATGAAAAAATAAAACTAGCTTCTGGCAAAAAAAAATTGTTGACTGAATGACATGAACCCGATGCTATATGCTTGCAGCTGGTTGCGAAGTCATTTTCAATTATTTATTTGTGGTAAAGTGTTATCGTATTTCTAGACATCATTTTTTTGAACTTGCTGTTCAATTCTGCTATTTTAACACGCGTGTGTGAATTCCACAAAACTTTTTGTCTCACACTCCAGTGTATTTAGCTCGATTTCCAATAGAAAGGAGATTTTCATTCACATAAATTGAAAAAATATTGTGCGTTTAAGGGTGAAATATACTTGTTATGAATCGATTTTTGGAACCATGGTAAGGAAGTATTGGAACTGCTGGGACATGTTCGAGGCGTGTAGAAAGGATTTTTATATCGTTAACATGGTAAGTGTGAGTGTGTTGAGAGCAACCTGCAGTGTATAAGGGGAAGATCCCCGGTCTTAACATGCTCCCTTGAGAAACACTCAGAGTCATTATTATATAGGTAGGAGTTTAGTATGATAAAGTACTAGATAAAAGATTTGAGTTTCAGCAATAATCTCTTAAGACCCGACGGAAGAAGTGATTAGGCTCTAGGGATGTTCCGATGGCGCGTTCTACAAACACGACAAATTCGGAGAATGGTGGAGTCTTAATTTGGAGGTCAGGAATAATGTTGGTTGTGGATACGAACATGAGGATGATGAAGGCTTGTTGCAATTAGTTCCTTACGTACTTTCCCGTGGAGACGTAGGGGATTTTACGATATTTTTAAATACAAGGAAACATTCACAATTGAAGTAAAATCGTTTTGATTATTAAATACATAAAATGCCAGCATTGTGTAATGAGAAACTTCAGGTTTTGAATTTAAGACGGGAGTTTGTCGAAAATTGAGCAGAACAACATTTTAAAAATTGTTGTACTAGGGAATACCACAGGAAAGAACAAGGAAAGGAGCGTATGGGATCTGCTGATTACAATTATTCTAACATATAATATTAATTAATCTAATATTAATGTAAAAATATTCTAATAGTTAATGTTAATTTCGTAATATCGTGGTCCGCTTGACCAATTAATATATTACAATTAATTAAGGTTTTTAGTTCATGTTTTCTTATATTTTGACCTCAACAGTTAATCTTATGATTCTTTCTTCTTGAAGGTGGGATAATAGGTCATCTCAAATTTAATTCTCAAATTAAGAGGTTTTTAGTTGAGATAAAAACCTTAATTAATTGTAATATATTAATTGGTCAAGCGGACCACGAAATTAGCGAATTTAATTATTTAAAATGAAGTATACTTCACTAAAGCTCTCCGTGGCCATTTCATTTGTCGTCGAGAATCCAATCCGATTACACGGCATTTGAAAAATGGCAAAAAGGAGGGAAAATTCAAAAGTTGGGGTTGGGATGGGAAATTAGTGTCCTAGTGGATCGAGGTCACGATAGCTCAAGTGGTAGAGCAGCGGCGTATCTAGCCGAAGATCGTGGGTTCGAATCCCGCTCGTGCCATTGACTTTTTTAACTCAACTAAAAACCTTAATTAATTGTATAATATTAATGTACAAATATTATATATATATATTTACGAGGGTATTTGAACCCTTGGGGTGCTGGGGTGCAGGTTTTTTTGAAAAAAAGTATTCGGGGTAGAATGCAGGGCCGTGGATTCGAACACGGGCCCTTTACGTTACAGCCTTACAGTAATGAATGCCATGTGAACGACTAAATATACGCTAGGAAGGTGGTTAGAGATTTGAAGAGGATTTGGGTAAGTGATTGGCATCGTCGATTCTTTACCTTTCAACCTCAGAAAAGAAAGACAACAAAAAGTAAGTTTGAATGATTTAAGAGAATATAATCGGGTTACGGATATTACAACGCGACGTAATTTTGTAATTCCAAAACTATTTCTTTAATAAGTGTGATTTTTGGCTCGCCAGCAGAAGGAATTTTAATAACATTTTCAATTTTTCTTCCAGAATGAAAACTTTATTTTATTTAGTATCCATAAGAGACCTTATTAAATTACAAGAATTGCATGTATTACTTGTTTCGTTATTAATTTTTCCTCCTTTTTCTTTTATTTAATCCTTCAGTTTTCTTTTCCATCTCTGCGTAAGTTTTTTTCTGTTTTTCTCTGGAAGAAATTTTAAATCCATTATATTTAGTGGTGTATGACCACATTACATCTTTCAATTAATTAATCTTTTTATGTAAGGTTTTTGTTTGAAATGAAAAAGATAGTGTCACGAGCTTGTCACGATTTATCGAGAGGGAAATTTCGAAAGGTTGTAGGTTGAGATGCCCGAGCGGATCGAAGTCGCGATAGTTACAACAGCGGCGCATTGAGCCGAAGGTCGTGGGTTCGAATCCCGATCGTGACACTAATTGTTTCATTTCAACCAAAGGCCTTACATAAAAAGACTAATGAATTTGAAAATTAAATCGTTGATGGTAAATTGGAAAAAAGACAGAACAAATTAAATTAACCCTTGATTGGTACAATTTATATTAATCCGGACAAAACAAACAATTGCGTTACCTGCTATCTAGCAACAACCATTCCTAATACGACAATATAATTATGAACCTAACTTAAATATGTATTTGCATAAAATGGGTGTGTCTGATCCGAAGGATTGTTGATAATTCAGCTATTTTACTGAAGAAACATACCAATTAATTCATATTAATTATTTTATTAAATTCACTAAAAATGCTGAAATTTTTGTTTAATATATTGCAAAATGGAAGAAAAAGGCTTACAAATTTTTTCAACAAATATATTTATTCAGAATAATAAACTAACACCGGCAGGGTATGAACTGGATCTCTGATTTTAGTAAACCTTTTTTTTTCTTGTTGTTGCCCTGGGCCCTAGGAGTCGAGAAAAAATATGTAATTTAAACTCTTCAGTATAATATGATATTTGGTTTTCATTGAGCATGTAAATCAATATTGTTAGACATCAGTCGATTTTTTGTTTTAAAGTACTAAACGGTAATGTAATAAGTACTACTGCATTAGATGGGATTGAATAAAAAATAAACAGTACTTCCCGTAACGTAAGCCATACAATTTTTAAGGAGAGGAAAGAACAGTCCGGATTAGTTTTCAGCGTCCTTTAAACCCTTTAAATATTAATTTGGCAGGAATAAAACAATGTTAATTTTTTCTCTGTGAACTGAGTTTTTGTTTGAGCCGAAGTAAGGTTTCTAACATAAAACTTTATAACTCCTATCGGTTTTGTTTTATTTACGGAAGCCAGATTTGAGCCATTACATGTAAATAAGTGATATGGTTTCCAGAGTATAAATTCCAACATCCTGCAAAAAGTTTATTGATCAGTGTTCACGTCTTAAACACTATTTTTCTGATTTTTGAAAAACATCGGAAGGCGAAAATTTTTTGTGCAAAAATGTATCTAGAGGTTTTATATGGATTCAGAAAAGTAATATGAACTCATTTTCTTTAAAAAAATTATAATTTCACCACTTTTCCAACTCGTCGATCACATTGTATTTCAATAAAATTACTTACAGTAATTTTTTATCTGCTTTTAGGGCATATCGACAAAACGCTCGGACTTACACTTAATATCACCAAGAAACACTTTAATGAAATCGGTCCCAAAAAACACTTTTTGTTGAAATCGGTCTTATTTCCATAGCCACCAACATAAAAATACAACCGACTAATTTATTAATTAAATCCATTAGAGTTCGTGGTCCGATGGACCAAATAATTTTGTCAATTAATTAATCTTTATGTAAGCTATTGGTTGAGATAAAAAATCCGTGTCAAGAGAGGGATTAGAACTCAGTCTCAACCAAAACCTTACATAAAGATTAATTAATTGGAAAAAGTTATATCGTAAATCGGACCACGAATTATAATGAATTTAGTGAGTAAAATGAAGTATATCTTCACCAAAGCTCTCCGTGGGCATTTCTTTTGTCGCCGAGAATTGAATAGATGACACGACATTTGAAAAATGGCAAAAAGGAGGGGAAATTCGAGAGGTAGGTTGAGATGGGAAGTTAGTTCCGATTGGATCGAAGACACGAAAG